GTATGTATGTATGTATGTATGTATGTATGTATGTATGTGTGTATGTATGTATGTATGTATGTATGTATGTATGTATGTATGTATGTATGTATGTATGTATGTATGTATGTATGTATGTATGTATGTATGTATGTATGTATGTATGTATGTATGTATGTATGTATGTATGTATGTATGTATGTATGTATGTATGTATGTATGTATGTATGTATGTATGTATGTATGTATGTATGTATGTATGTATGTGTGTATGTATGTATGTATGTATGTATGTATGTATGTATGTATGTATGTATGTATGTATGTATGTATGTATGTATGTATGTATGTATGTATGTATGTATGTATGTATGTATGTATGTATGTATGTATGTATGTATGTATGTATGTATGTATGTATGTATGTATGTATGTATGTATGTATGTGTATGTATGTATGTATGTATGTATGTATGTATGTATGTATGTATGTATGTATGTATGTATGTATGTATGTATGTATGTATGTATGTATGTGTATGTATGTATGTATGTATGTATGTATGTATGTATGTATGTATGTATGTATGTATGTATGTATGTATGTATGTATGTATGTATGTATGTATGTATGTATGTATGTATGTGTATGTATGTATGTATGTATGTATGTATGTATGTATGTATGTATGTATGTATGTATGTATGTATGTATGTATGTATGTATGTATGTATGTATGTATGTATGTATGTATGTATGTATGTATGTATGTATGTATGTATGTATGTATGTATGTATGTATGTATGTGTATGTATGTGTATGTATGTATGTATGTATGTATGTATGTATGTATGTATGTATGTGTATGTATGTATGTATGTATGTATGTATGTGTATGTATGTGTGTATGTATGTATGTATGTGTATGTATGTATGTATGTATGTATGTATGTATGTATGTATGTATGTATGTATGTATGTATGTATGTATGTATGTATGTATGTATGTATGTATGTATGTATGTATGTATGTATGTATGTATGTATGTATGTATGTATGTATGTATGTATGTATGTATGTATGTATGTATGTATGTATGTATGTATGTATGTATGTATGTATGTATGTATGTATGTATGTATGTATGTATGTATGTATGTATGTATGTGTATGTATGTATGTATGTATGTATGTATGTATGTATGTATGTATGTATGTATGTATGTATGTATGTATGTATGTATGTATGTATGTATGTATGTATGTATGTATGTATGTATGTATGTATGTATGTATGTGTATGTATGTATGTATGTATGTATGTATGTATGTATGTATGTATGTATGTATGTATGTATGTATGTATGTATGTATGTATGTATGTATGTATGTATGTATGTATGTATGTATGTATGTATGTATGTATGTATGTATGTATGTATGTATGTATGTATGTATGTATGTATGTATGTATGTATGTATGTATGTATGTATGTTTGAGTTTTTTTTTTTTTCCCGGGGAAATCTGATGAAATTCGCGCTTTCTGCCGAAGACAAGGATATCCGTTGGATGTTTTATCTGGCACTGTCAGCTGCATTTCCCTAGCCACCTGCACCACTTGACTCTGCGGGTAGTTCTGATACATCCGATAAATCACATCCTGGCATCAGAGGCGCTAGCACACACAATTTTAAATTTGGGGCTAGGGGCGGGGTAGGGGGAGGGGATAGGATGGGGGATATGTCCCACTATAAGTTTATGCGGTGGGGGGAGAGGAACTGGGGTTTAAGGGCTTCTTCTTCTTCGTCTCTTTCTTCTTCTTCTTCTTCTTCTTCTTCTTCTTCTTCTTCTTCTTCTTCTTCTTCTTCTTCTTCTTCTTCTTCTTCTTCTTCTTCTTCTTCTTCTTCTTCTTCTTCTTCTTCTTCTTCGCGGTCACCACCAGTAAATTGCAGCCAAAAATTCTCGTTGTTCGTCGACTCCTAAATTTTGGTATTGATACACAACTTGAATTTTTGTGTGCACATCCGTTTTACAGATCTGGCTTTTCTGTATCTAGACTGTTGGTTGTTTGTCTCTTAAGCAGATGCATGCCTAATTAGTAGTATTTTAGGACATCTCTAAACCGGGGGGGGGGGGGGGGGGGCATTAGATCTATTGTTTGTTTTCCAAAATGTAGCCTCAGAACTCACACAACACGCTCCCCATCCCCACATCCAAATTATTTTTATTGTGTGACTGAGTTTCCATCTCCTTAGACAGTGGTTTACATCCGTTCTAATGCCGCGACCCTTTAATACAGCTCTTCATGTTGTGGCGACTATTTAATACGCTCTTCATGTTGTGGCGACCCTTTAATACAGCTCTTTATGTTGTGGCGACTATTTAATACAGCTCTTCATGTTGTGGCGACCCTTTAATACAGCTCTTCATGTTGTGGCGACCCTTTAATACAGCTCTTCATGTTGTGGCGACTATTTAATACAGCTCTTCATATTGTGGCGACCCTTTAATACAGCTTTTCATGTTGTGGCGACTATTTAATAGAGCTCTTTATGTTGTGGCGACTATTTAATACAGTTCTTTATGTTGTGGCGACCCTTTAATACATCTCTTTATGTTGTAGCGACCCTTGAATACAGCTCTTCATGTTGTGGCCACTGTTTAATAAGTTCTTGATGTTATAGCGACCCTTTAATACAGCTCTTTATGTTGTTTCGACCCTTTAATACAGCTTTTCAAGTTGTGGCGACTATTTAATACAGCTCTTTATGTTGTAGCGACCCTTTAGTACAGTTCTTTATGTTGTAGCGACCCTCTAATACAGCTGTTTATGTTGTTTCGACCTTTTAATACAGCTTTTCAAGTTGTGGCGACTATTTAATACAGCTCTTGATGTTGTAGCGACCTTTTAATTCAACTCTTCATGTTGTGGCGACCCTTTAATAAGCTCTTTATGATGTGGCGACCATTTAATACAGCTCTTTATGTTGTGGCGACCATTTAATACAGCTCCCCATTATGTGGTGACCCCCAGCCATCCAATTATTTGCGTCGCTACTTCTTTACTCCAATTAATATTTGTTTTGCGATGGTATTTGGCGACCCATGTGAAGGGGTCGTTCGACCCAAAAAGAGGGTCTTTACCCATAGGTTGAGAACCGCTGCCCTTAGGGGAAGGAACGTGGAAGGGGCCTCATGACGCCAAAGCCCTGAGATTGCTGGCGCCTTTACCCCTCATAGCTGCCCCACAGGGAAGTTCCTGTTGCCTAATTTACCCTTCCGCTGTTATGAAACCTGGACATGGGAAATATTTCCAGAGGACATTTGGATATTGTTGTTCAGGGTTTTCTTATGTGAAAATGACACTCCTGCCTGTTTAGCTGCTTTCTTTTACTGCTGACACAGTATATGCCTGTTCTCAACAGGGCTGTAGAAACTGTGTGGGGAATAATACCAGATTGGTTTCGAAAAGGTAGCAACAAGCACCAAAAAGTACAAATTGTTATATTAAAAAATCAAAAACAAAAACTTCAAAAGTCGCGCGCGTGCACATACACACACACACACACACACACACACACACACACACACACACACATACATACATACATACATACATACATACATACATACGTACGTACATACATACATACATACATACATACATACATACATACATACATACATACATACATACATACATACATACATACATACATACATACATACATACATACATACATACATACATACATACATACATGCATGCATGCATGCATGCATGCATACATACATACATACATACATACATACATACATACATACATACGTTTACACATATAAAAGTGGCCAACCTTATGTTTGATCGGAAATGAAATTCTTTTTCCGATTACACCGTTGCAGTACCATTTCTTCTGCTCAGTTATCCCGGCTTGCACTGATACAATTAATTTCATGGAGCTATAATTTTGATCTTATCAACGAATTTAATGTTAAATTCTTCAAAGGAAAGCGATTTAATAAAAAAAAATTCTTATATTGTTAAGCAGAGAGAAAACATTTTTTGCATCTGCAGAGGAATGGGGCAATGCCAAAATATTAAACATAAATGTTGATACGAATGGAAAGCGATTTCTATCTCCTCCATATTTGTTTTCATAAATCCCACCCCCCCCCTCCCCCATAAGGTGGTTGATTTTGAACTGAATTCTTTGTAAATTTGTTTATAATGTATATCTTTAGCACGGCTGGGAAATTTTGTAACTAATGGAATAAAGAGCGTCGGTCTCCCTTCAGTAACACTTTTTGGATCCAGCTTAGAATGCCAAGACTCAAATACTCTTGCAAAAATTTCTAAAAAGTATCAAAACATTGGGTGTGGTACCAAAAGTTCAGTTTTGCTCGACAAGAGTCTCTTAGTACTAAATTTAAATGCAAGTACCAACTTTAGCAGCCCTGGGTCCTCACCTACCAACTGATTTGTGAGACATTATTTGCTGGCAATAGCCAAAATGCTAAATCTTTGTTTCGAAAAAGTCATATTTCACACTGAGTAACAAATGAAAATTATGGAGTTGTGTGTAAAGTAATACTTCATTATGGACTTTTGTGGAGCAGAAATAGTCATATGTGTCTTTCGCATTTTGTAAAAAAAAAAAGAAAAACCCACCTAAAATGCACTAGGGGACAGTCGCCAGATTTGCACATAGGGGCCAAAGATAATTTTAATTTACTTCGAAAACAACTTTCTTTTCTTTTTCTTTACTCATCTTCTGGATATTTTATATCTTCTTTCACCAGCAGTGTTGGTGTTAGCTTCTTATGAGGAATGAATGCACTTTCCAAGTTCCAACTTACCAAAGTTCATTTGTGTGTGTGTGTTCCATTGTATTTTGATGTTACTCTGTAATGATTCACGTGACGAGATACACTCACATATACTTGGCAGTAATACAATGTTCAAGACATTTTTTGTATGCGCATTATTTTTATTATGTCTATTGTATCTTTTTGACAGGAGTTTGAGCCAAGCCAGGAGGACATACGTTCGGAACAAGAATTCCCACACCCAGAATTTGACTACCATACCATCACAAACGACATCGCTCTAATTAAACTTCGACATCAACCATCAGCCTTCACGCAACCAGGATATGCTTGCCTGCCGAGTGCTAGCTATACTCCTCCACGGGATCAGCTGTGTACGATCGTAGGTTGGGGAAAACTGAAGAACACACATTTCTACGGATCCAATTCATTGCAGGAGGCTCAGGTACCGGTGGTGAGACATAGAAAGTGTGAACGCGTTTTTGACTATGTGATTACGCAGAAGCAAGTCTGTGCGGGTTATAAAAAAGGCGGGAAGGATTCTTGTGCTGGAGACAGTGGTGGTCCACTTCTGTGCAGCTGGGAAGATGGCAACACAACGAAGTATGTCATTTACGGGGTGACGAGCTACGGTGAAGGTTGTGGGAGAAAGGGCAAGTATGGCATATATACAAAGGTAGCCAGCTACAGAGACTGGATTGATAAAACTATCAGCGAGAATAGTTGAGGCCTACCCGAATAACATCATGCTCAAATATCAGCCCATCAGCGTTCAGATTCCTTGAAGAGTAACGGATAATGAACGGGGCAGCATTTCCAAAGTGATTTAGACACATGTGAGTGCTGGTCAACCTGCTGAATATATCCAGCTCATCTGCATCACCCCTGGAGTTGGCAAAAGGAATCGATCAAATTTCGACCAAGTTAAAGGCGAGTTTCTTAACCAACATTTCGGGTACTTTTACATACCTGGGACCTAAGGTGGAAGCTGCATTCAATAAATTGGGAACTTTACGAATACCTTCAGAAATAAGTTTTCCAGTAGCTTATCTGTGGCGACCCGGTGCAAAATATGTAACAAATTATAAACTGGAATCGTATTTTGGTAAATTTAATAAAACGTATCCACGAAGGATTCGGAAATTCCCTTAACGTAATCCACTTTCGTAATTTCACATATTCGTTCTTTAAACACTTCCATACAGGAAAAGCCAGAAATTGGGAGCAGTAATGGAACGCCAGAATTAAAAAGCCAGTCAGAAGTTATGGCTAGTTGCTTTTAGAGTCTGTTTCGTTTCGTTTCTCCTTAGTTACTGTTCGTTTTATAACTACATGAATCAGTTCTGCCGGAGAGGCAAGGAACCAACAGTCTGTATTCAAGAGAATGAGATCTGTAAAACTGATGCACACGCAACACTCAGGTTCTGGAGCAGGACTGCAGTTCAGTAGTGGACGAACAACCAGAACTTTCCGCCATAGTGTACAGCTGGTGAACGTGAAGAAGAAGAAGAAGAAGTATAGTTTGGTTTAAATCAAATTAAAGACATTTAAAACTTGAATTATGTAGAAACAATCAGTGATGGAAGAACCAGGACCAAAGAAGGGGAAATCCCACGTTGTGTTAAAGTTATGACAATTTAATTTATACACCTATCCTTGAAACTGTCTCAGAATATGACGCCAAATTATCTGGCTGTTTGATTCAGTCGATGTAAAAAAAAAAACGTGTTTGTATGTCATAAATTTGTGACATATATTAAGTGTCATGGTTAGTTGTGCGTAAGTGAACATGTGTTATAGAACTAATATTATGTAATCCCCGTTTGGGTCCCTTAGCTCCATTTGGGGGACATGAATATACCCACTGTTTCCTAACAAGCATGTCGTAGGAGGCGACTTATTAGGAAGCGATGTTTACTTTGAAGTCCTAGTTCATCTGCCTGAGAGGCGAGGAGTTCTGTGTGTATATAAATAAGCCAGAAATATAAAATGGATGTGCACCCAAAACTTAAACAAGATCAAAGTCCTGAAGCGTACACATTGCCAGAACTCTCTGTCGGAATCTACAACCCGTGAACGAGAAGGATCAGAAGAAGAAGAAGCAGAAGAAGAAGAAGAAGAAGAAGAAGAAGAAGAAGAAGAAGAAGAAGAAGAAGAAGAAGAAGAAGATGTTTCTAGGATGTGAACCTGGGTCATTCTCATCAGAATAGTGACTCTTTGGGTCACCGAGTGTTAATAGGTCAATATTGAGTCCTAGACAGGTTCATTGCTCGCATAGAAAAGGGGTGTGGTGCGTGCTCTAGGGATCTCAACCATGTTTAACTGCTGGGGGGGGGGGGGTCGGTAGGCGGCGCAAAGAGGGGGGGGGGGGGAATTGGTTATGATCAAATGTTCTATTCCCTTTAGACTTTTTCAAAGCTTCACTAATCCCGAATCACTAATGCCTATAATAGCATCTTTCCGTCTTTTCAGACGATAGTTTAAATTTGTGCTAAAAAGTCAGCGTGAGAAACTCAACCCATGGCTGCCTTTGTCCTAAAGTCCCACCTCCAATCAACATGGAATATGACGTGCTGCTGCCATGAGTCCACCTCAATACCTGTATCATTCATGCAGTGTCCTACCGGGTATAAAGTTCTAGACCCACATTGTTATAAACCAACCAGCACTCGATAGGTGAGTCCAAAATCCAGTGAACGTTGCTTCTTATGTGTGTGTGTGTGTGTATATATATATATATATATATATATATATATATATATATATATATATATATATGTGTGTGTGTGTGTGTGTGTGTGTGTGTTTATGTTTAGACGCCGTAGCAACGTCGAGGATCCTAAAATACTGTTGGCAGACTTTTAACTACAAATTATACCCGGGCAGCGCCATTAGGCTTTTCTTTTTTCGATTTCCAACTGCCAACTTCACAGGGGCTTCAATCCGAGACCTCCAGCACTCGAGGCAGACGCCCCGCCTGGAGACCACGCAGCCCCCATACAACCCATTTTAGGTGAGGTCGATCTGGGAGTCAGTGTTTGTAAGAGTCGATCTGAGGCAGAGTCAAACCAAAAACCTTTGGGTGGCGGGCAAACTTCTAGCTTTAGCTCAACCGTAGCTCCAATTAAACATGCTATTTTTGGATGTAACTAGAGTTTTCCAAACTTATTACTGTTACTTTTCCTTTTGCGATTGAGTTATGAATTATAAGTTAGATTATCTTCACAGCACTCGGGACACATCCATAGGCGCTCAGATTCCCCTCTCAACATATTCATCAGCGTCGTGCGGTTAATAGTACCAGTCCCATGTTGGTTAACACGACTGCGTGTGCGTCCAGTGTGCTTCTCATGTTTGGTTGTGCCGATCTTTACTCCCAATTCGCGTATTCTTAGCAGTGATGTGGACACGTTGCTTCCAAAATCCTCATAACGTCCTATCTCTCTAAGGGCAATGACAATGTCTGCGTGATCCATGGGGCGGCCATCTTCAATTAATGCAACACCTGCCAGTTTATCAGCAATCTCGTTATCAACAACGTCTGTATGCCCTGGGACGAATATGAAAGTAACTGCACAGACAGGAGAATTTTGCAACGACTCAAGCCACTGTCTGCGTAACCAGCCTGCCTCGACCCGCCTGATCATGCTCAAAGAATCACTCAGCACACACACGCGGGAATTAGTCCTGTGAACCCAGCCACACGAGAGTTGGGATTAAGAAAGCAGGCCGAATAAGGGATTATTATGCATTTGCAACATGGGTTATCTTCAATACTGCCCAGACTTTGTGCTGTGGGGAGGAGAGCTTTTTTTTTTTTTGGGGGGGGGGGGGGGGGGGCCCTCATTGTCATAGGCTGTGATTTCAAAGTCTCCCTACAGCATAATATAACAGTATCCTATGAAAAGACAGAAAGATGCCAACAAAACCAAACTACCAGTTATTTGGGTACATAAATTGGTAAGACATTGGGAAATAGGACCATCATATTGTTACGTTAAGATGATTCTATCAACAACAACAACAACAACAAAAGGGCTAAATTCACTGTATTGAATGTAAGGTCGAAAACCGCAGTTGTCTCAGTTTAGTTGTATACCACAACACAACTTGTCAACCAAACTTTTAGAGGCGGGGGTAGAAAAAGAAGAAGATGATGAAGAAAAAAGAGGTATTTCTAACGGCTGCCTTGAGCAATTGATGGGTGTGTATGCTGCTGACATTGTGGAGAGTACTATCTGTATCAGTCCCCCCCCCCCCCTCGGCAAGGGACGGTGATGGACATGCTGTGTGATTCTTCTTGGCACAGAAACGGAGCACCTACGGGGGTCATCCGTTTGCAATGAAGATGGAACTGTGTCAAGCTGAGTCCAAAGATATTAAAGTAATTATACCACAGAGCTGGTTAATTAGTGAGCCACGGTTCTCACTTTCACAGCAAACTATTCACTCCACAATTGTCTGGTTTCTGGATTTGGTTTGATCTTGGTTTGAACAACAGATCAACATCATGGCACACGGGAAGTAACCCATAAGTGCTCCGTTCTTTCTTCAAATTCAAGTCTTGAATCCGAAGATGCTCAGCATAGTGCACAAGCTCTGCAGCACCAGCGAGGATCCTGAAATACTTTGGGTAGATTTTTAACTCCAAATTTTGCAGTGCCGTTAGGCTACTCTTTTCGATTTTCAACTGCCAAAGGATATTTTTACGTGCGCAACAATGCATACGGGTGTCCGACCTCACTACCCAAAGACCAGGGGGAATTACTAGAAGTCCAAGTCCATGAGAAAAAAATCCAAGCTCCTACCGGGGATTGAACCCGGAACCTCTAGCACCGAGATGGACACCATGCCTCGAGACCGCACAGGTATCCTATCACTGTTGGAAACATGGCAAAGGCTGCAGTCCTGGCAAGCCAGTAGCAAATGCGCACCTGAAGTGCATATGGTAGTCATTGATGGAAGCAAGTAATTTTGAAATTAGGTGCTTTTGTATTCGTAAAAGTGTGTAACATTATCCCCCCCCCCCCCCCCCTAGTTTTATTATAAATAAAATATTAAATAAAAATATTTATAAAACAGAAAGCCAAGGAAATTATTTATTTTCATTAGTAGTTTGTATACCTGCAGTTAAAAATTTAAATAATTTGACAACACAGACATTTAATTCAGATTAAGAATACATTCTGACCAAAACGTATCTCCATACTTTCTGTTTTTTTTTGTTGTTTTTTTGTTGTTGTTGCGAGATACATACATTATGATGCTATTTTTTAATCACATTTGTTATGTTCGGGTGTGGGTCTTGCCATATACTCAAAGTGGGTGCGGGGGTCTTGTAACATACTCAAAGGGCGCTTGGGCTCTTGTTATATACTCAAAGGAGGGGGGGGGAGACTTAGAAAAAAATGCTGCAGACCACTGAGTTAAACAAATCAGCGGTTGCACACGCCAAATATTGCACAAGGCACCAACAGTTCTGTAGCAGAAGATCACGCATTACGTTTTTAATCTGTAATTCACAACAATATAACAAAAAGGAGGGAGACTAACAATACTGTTGTAATTTGTTAATGTTAACAGATATATGTGATAGACTAGAAAGAAAAAAAAAATAAACCGTCTTTGGGCTAATGTTTCTCTCAGGGCCGCATTGCACTGAGACCCTTGTAAGTCATTCGTTGAATCCTGCATTGTTACTGCATTTTTCGGGTAAATCTATTTGGA